CATAACTCAAGATAAACTTTTCCGAAACTGTAACTATAATCTGAAATTGAAATAAAAGCAGTGATGTCAGTGACTCCATCAGTAAAATACAAGAAGTGGAATTAATAAATGAACACTTGAAATACCTCAGTGTATTGATCAGTTATAACAAACTTAATATAAAAGCTAAAGAAACTGAATACAGAATAGTTTGCATGAGACATTGATTTGTTTCATGCTGAAAAATGCTACAAAACCAAAACATTAACATAAGAACTTGAGTCATGTTTTTAAAAATCAACACATTCATGTGGATATTATGTATGTCACCAAACTCATTCATAAATATTTAAACTGTCAGATGTCTACAACTGTTTTCTCAGATTAGGGATTTTAAAATGACTGAACAAAGGAAGCCTGTAGATATTAGCAAGGTTCATCTTTCTTTAAAACTCATGGATTGGCACTATAGAATCACTAAAACATGAAGCAAATAATAGAAACCTCATCACTTGAGGACTTGCAACAACTAAAATAGATATCACATGTAACTTGAAGAGTAAACGATATAATTAAGAGGTTGACATTCCTCACTACTTCAAACAAAAAGTTACAAAGAAAACATCAGTACTGAAAAGAGTGTAATAGTTATAGAATTTGAGAAACCTGCTTTCCTGAAAAATTGTTTTAATAGAAAGATTTTATAAATTTCAACCAATAGTAGCACTGGTTGCTTGTTTAATGAATGCCATGTTTCCTCATAAACAATTGGCTAATATTACCATTACTATTTTGCATATAATTTTAGTCAAATAAATGTAATGTCTTAAGACTAATGAAGATGACTTCAGCTGTGAAATTGTCTGTTATCACATTGTCAAAAAAGGAAGAATAATGAAAAATCTTATGCCTGGAAGAATCACAGTTAGGCAAAGATAACATCTTCAGAAAAAAAAGATAACCTTTGGAATCCATTAATAAAGCAAATGTAGTCAAGTTTCATAGCAAGGCTGCAGCAGCAGTAATAAGCAAAGAGAGATGGTGGTGAAGGAGGTCATGCAGAAGCATGCAAGTCAGTAGACAGGCAATAGGAATATTAGCTTTAAAGTACCAAATACAGGATTATTCCACCAAACAATAGACTAGTAGATTAAAACATTAGTTCAGGAATTTGGTGGTATAGTCAGTCTCTGGGCTAGGTAGTACAGTGGAAATAGAGCAATCAATAAGTGAGCAGTATTGAAATATATCCCTCAACAAGGGCTACTGAAGTATCTGTCTATATTTCTGAGATGAGGTATTATGTACACTATTTACATTATTCAGACTATTGTCCTCATCATGACAACAGGAGATAACTGATAACTGGCATCCATTAAACATGGCACATGGAACTAGAACAGTCTACCCCAGTGAGTGGAATAAAGGGTTCAGTTTTATATTCCAACCACCTGAAGAAGGCCAGGGCATACAATGGCTGAAATGTAATAAATATGGCAACAAAGATGACGACAATAGTCTGAATAATTTAAATAGTGAAAGACTACTGAACAAGAACATTTTAGTTCTGTAGATTAAATAAAGGGCCGAGTTCAAAATTCCCTGAAGGTTATCAAGACCAACAGAAACCTGAAGAAAGCCATAGGATACAATAGTTGAAACATTATGATGACAACAACTAAGATGTGGACACCAGTCTGAATGTAAATGAAATGAAAATCAGAAAAGAATTCTCAAACAACAACAAAATAAAAGACTACAAAAAATATATCTCAACAACTGTTTGTACAGATATAATGTAATTTGGCAAGCAATCAGAGGGGTCCTGATTGTGCAATGTGAACAGACACTCTTGCTGGATTATTCAGTTGGATGTCAGATGTCACTGAGTGGGCTTGGGTACTGTGAAACTACAGCATTTACAAGTGAAGTGATGCTTCACATCTCAAACACGGATTCTGTCAAAATATCATATCATGGATGAGATTAAGGAGAATGTGATGAAGCATCAGATGGTGATTCCCCCCCAAAACACAAAACCATATGCAAATGTGTGATTACAAACAAGGAAGACATCAACAGTGACCATAGTCTCCTTCAACAATATCTTATACTGAGAGCAAAACTATCCAACAAAGTATTTAAAAAATATATATACAATTTGACAGACATTACTTTTTACCTGAAACTGTAATCTAGAGCTTTTTGTTAATGTTTGCATACTTGTTATGAAGCATATAAATTTCAAGTAGTAAGCTGTCAAAACTGAAAAAAAAAACTGAAAAAAAATACAAAATGATGCATAATCTCAGAATGTTTAATAATACATGTTAACAAATAAAAAAGGTTTTATTTGTGTGAAGATACAGCTGAGTCAAGTGCTCCTCAAGGACGAAGATTTGGGTTCTGAAGATACATTGATACTCCCAAGAGAGATCAAAAAAAAAAAATACAGAAGTTTGAATATTTGGGAAGTTTTTAACCGACAATTGAAAATGCAACACCAAAATCTGATTATTTGAATGGTAAAGAAGTTTTCAAAGCTCAAGAAAGTACTGAGAAACAGGAAAATTTTGTTAGTGTTAAGAAAAAAGAAATTTTGTTTTGTTAAGAAAAAAAGTGTTGAACTGTTACGTAATATCAATCCTATTGTATGGAAGTGAATGCCGGACAGTCTCCTCATAGATGAAGAGAAGACCAGAGGCAACAGAAATGTGATTCTATAGAAAGATGCTGAGAATACTAGGGACAGGACATATGAGGATGGTGGGCTTGAAGAATTTGACTCACAGTGCACAGCAAAGGCTTGGATTTCCATTTCTTTCTAAAGTCTTTTTCTTTTTCACTACCAGGAGCCCCATGTGCCTTGGTGGCATTATTGCCTTGCTTGGGATGGATTATAAAAAAAGTGAACACAATTAAAGACAACCTACATGATGTGCTTTTGGGAATGGATGGGGTTACTGGGTGTAGAATGCCTGGTAAAAGAACAAAGGGACAAGTGGTGGAGAGCCATGCTCACCATATTTTAAAGGGATACAGCAAATAGAAGATGAAAAATATTCAAAATTAAAGAGTAACAAAATCACCAGATTTATTTAATCTATACAATGAGGCAGTCTTGGAAGAACTAGTAGTCCTACCAGGATTTATTATCAGTGGGCATAATAATCACAACAACATAAGATACACAGATGACACTGTTCTCATGGTGGGAAAACTGCAAAATCTCTGAGAGAAGATAACAAAGAAAAGTTGGAAGAAAGGGTTAAACTTCAATAGTAAAAAGACAATGTACAGTAGCCATCAAGAGGAGCTGCCAAAGGTGTGATCTTCGAATTGGAGACATGAGAATCAAGTACCTGGAGAAATGTAACTGCTGTGTCTAACAGATTACAGTAGTCTGATACAGAATTCTGAAGGTGCCTCAGAACATCAAAAATGCCTTCTCGAAACTAAGTTAAATATTAAGACATAAGAACATTTTTTCAGAAACAAAGAAAAGAAAATCAATGCAATATTTATCCTTCTATATATGAGTGAATGTTAGGTAAATTCCTCATGTTTAAACAGGCTTGAAACAACAGTTGTGATTCTACAGAAAAATAATGAGAATACCATGAACTGAACATGTGAGCAATGAGGAAGTTCTAAAGAAACTGAGAACTAGGACACTTACACTTAAACTCTGAAAGAGGCAGCTGATACACAGAATGAAGAAAGAAGGCTTGGAAAATTTAACACCCACTGTATGTATGAAACAATCTACACCCAGATCAAGATTCAATAATGAAATCAAAATTCACTGAAGAAGGGTAGACGGTGCAATAGTCAAAATGTCGTAATAGCAGTAAAGATGCTAACATAAGTATAAATGTAAATAGTCTAAATACTTGAGATTCTTTATCCTAGAAATTCAGGTGTAAGTTCAAACCTTAGCAGAAAATTAAAAGAAAAAATTGTGCAAAATGAAAGTACGAATCCATTACTTTCACTTACGTGCTAATACCCTTGGGAAAGGTATGAATCCTCTTCTCCCCCAAGCTATGGGTAAATAGCAGGACAGACTGGGTTCTGTAGCCTTGGGTGGCAACTGGTCTACTACAGGAAGAAATGATAACCTACTGTGGGGAAAAAAATCTGCCTTGTCAGTCATATATCGAAAGATACATGATCTCCTAAGCGTGTATCATGCCTGGCACATAACTGATTGAATGATTGTACCCATCATTATAAGTATTCATGGTAAAGTCCTGAAGAAGAACATGGCAAAAAGATAAACCATATTGAAAGTGTGATGATAACTTTACTAAAATCAGCTAGAGTACTGAGGGAAGTGATGGAGTATCAAACAAATTTGCTCTCACTTTATTTAAAGTGAAAGCCATCAGTTATGGCTGGTGTGAAGACTAAAACTAAATAAATAAATAAAATATTTTTCCAAAACAAAATCTAATAAGCCATTTTATGCCCAGAAGCAAGGATAGGGAATTTCAGAAGTTAACCTCAATTTCAAGGAACATGTTTGGGAAAGAGTCTCCCACATTTAAGGTTTTCTTATTTGCACCTGCAACAATCTCTGCAGTTCTCTGTTTTGTCTTATGAACTTAACTTGCACTAATATGATGCTTCAGTAGCCATTTTGTTTCTTCTATCTCATATTTCTAAGTATTTTACTATTTTGCAAAAAATTTCTTTTCATTTTTGCCTTTTGTTTTTTTAATCTTGTTCTTATCTTTTGTCACATGTCTACGTTTCCTTTGACAGCAACATAAACAAATATATTTACACTGAATGGCTGTCTCAGGGATGTTTGTGTTGTTAGTAATTGGAAGCTTTTGAGTGAGGAGCATCTGCATGTATTTACTCAGAAATGAAACAGGCAGCAAGGAGGGGAAAGGAATGGGGCATTATAGAACCTTGTGTTTGAGGAGGGTGAGTTGAAAAATTGAGAGGGAAAACGTGCTAAATAACAAATCTATGAAGAAGGCACAAACGTGGAACAAAGACTAATTAGATTACTAATGGAAAGATATAGGAAGGGGAAGGAAGGAAATGATATAAAATAGAAGGAAATAGACAGGAAGAAGTAAAATAAGAAATATGGTAAAGGAGAAGAGTAGGGATGAGGAAGGAGTCAGTGAGAGCGAAAGGAAAAAAGAGTGAGCGAGGGCGAAAAAGAAAAAAAGTGAGGCGAGGGTGGTGAGGAAAAAAAAAAAAGTGTGAGGGCGAAAGCGAAAAAGGAGGGAAAGTGTGAGCGAGGACGAAAAAGGAGGGAAAGTGTGAGCGAGGGCGAAAAAGGAGGGATAGTGTGAGCGAGGGCGAAAAAGGAGGGATAGTGTGAGCGAGGGCGAAAAAGGAGGGAAAGAGTGAGCGAGGGCGAAAAAGGAGGGAAAGAGTGAGCGAGAACAAAGAAAAACTGTGCGAGAGATATATCTATTTTCATTGTTGCTGTGATACTCAGTGGAATATTGAATGTCATAATATAGGATTCTTAATGAGTATTGTACTCAACAGTAATGAGTAAGAATACTATCTTGTTACCATTACACCATGCCAATGAATACCAAACATGTGTTATTAAGAGGAAGTAAAGAAAATTTAATGCCTTCTACACATCATTGATGTATAGTGATCTGTTTTCACACCTGGACTTTTTGTCTGTATCAACTGCAAATTCCTACTGAGTTCAACTTTCACCACATGCTCTACACTCAGAGTTGGCTTTTCCTGAGAACTACTTAAACTCCAGCATGAACACTCCAGTTGTGGTGTCTACAAGTCAATTCTAAACAGTTATCTATCCACCTTATTCTCAGAATCACAGTTTTCAGTAACACTACTATGAAAGACTCTTATACCATGTTTTAGGTGAACTGTAGCATAAAAACGTGTGTTTTATGCCTTACTACTGTTCAGTCTTCAGTTGGTATCCAGTACCTGGTGTGTTTTCTCTGTGTTTGTGTCACTTGCAAATTCCTACAAGTTAGTTCAATCTCCATTGGGTGCTCCCCACCTTATGTCTGTCTTAATGTCTTTCATACATCAGTGTTGAAGTGTTCAGTTTTTCACTGGGGACCTCCCACATCTGTGTCATTTTGCCTGTCACTTGCATATTCCTACTGTAGCAACTTAAAACCCTCATTGGGTGCTCTACATTAAAAGCCTTATGCTCGTCTTTTACGCATTAATACCGCAAAGAGTTACATGCTCAATACTTAAAACCTTATATCTGCCTTTGTATATTTCATACATTACTGCTTCCAAGAACTCAGCCTTCACTGGGTACTCACAGCTGTGTCCTGTGTTTATGTCACTTGTGGATTCCTACTGCAGTGAGTTCAATCCTCAATAGGTGCTTCAAACATTATGTCTTAGTGTCTTCACTGGTGGCCCACATCTGCAGAGTTTTGCCTGTTTTTGTGTCACTCAATTCTTATAGTATTGACTTCAACCCTCACTGGGTGCTCATTTCTTAAAGCCTCATGTCTGTCTTTGTCACTTGTACACACTGCTGCTGTATAGAGTTCAGTCTTTCCTATTTACCCCCACATGGCCTTATGTCCGTGTTTGTGCCACTTCCAGATTACTACTGTAGTGAGTTCAATTTTATTGGGTGTCATGTACTTGCAGTCTCATATCTTTCCTATTTTCTCCTTCACATGAAAATGGCGGAGGAGTTGATACATTCCACCAAACCATCACGCAATGCAACACTTGATAGCAAAGTAATCAGTTTTGTTTTTTATCTTTTCTTTGAAGTTCTTTGTTTAATATCTTCTCACATTTGAAAAACAAAAGTGCTAAGAGAAATCTCAATACCTATTGACAACCCTATTGGTTTCATCATCAACTTACACAGTTATTGGAAAAACATTGATCAATACATCTGAAAAGTGGGTAATGGGTTCAGAGAGCAAAGTACACCATTATGAAGAGATAAACAAAACACACTGGCTGCTGTTCAATTTCTATTGATTATTATATTTTTGCAATTCAGTCAACCTATTGCGCATGTGCACCTAGGGCAAGGGAAGTTCACAATCAGCTAAATCTACCTTATCGAGGTTGTTTTCAGCCAGTGACAGCTCACTTGACAGTTTTGGAAGTCATTGCTAATAGTCGAAGTGTCAATAGATAGATTTCCCATTTTGTTTCTACACCAGACTAGAAGCTTCATCTATCATCTGCCTTTCTAGATAAGCACTTTTTCAATGTACAAATTTTTCTGGGACGTTTTTTTTTTTTTATTAAGCAAAAATTGAAAAAAAAATTTATTTTGCTTTTAATTGACAAAAAGTACACAAAATAAGCTTGCAAACAGGTAAATATACTTTTTCAAAGTTGTTTTCAGCCTGCGGCAATCCACTTGATGGTCTTGGAAATCATTGCTAATAGTCAAAATGTCAGTAGATTTCCTATTTTGTGCATACACCAAACTAGAAGCAGTTTTATAGATATAGTTGAAAATTGTGTCATCATAAACAAATTTTACAAATAGAATAAATAAGGCTACCCCACAACACTAATAAACAAAGGTTTTGAACTAGCAGAAAACATACCTTTAGACCAACTACAAAATCCAAAGAAACAATGTCAAACAAACTCTAGCATATGCCTCAACATACAAAAACAATCCAGAACTATATACAGAAATAACAAGAAATCAAGATTTACTTAAGAAGAATGATAAAATGAAAAATATACTAAAACCAATCAAAATAATTAAAAAAAATTACAATCAATAAACCTAAAACACATTAACCTCATCCAAATTTAGCCTACACACAATACAGGGGGTCATAAAATGCAACAAGATGTGGGGTTTGTGATATTATAGAAAGAAACTCCTACAACAACATACATAATAAAGAAGAATTTAAAGTGCTACTCGAAAAATGTGATTTATGCACTCAAGTGAACAAAATGCAACAAGTCCTATATAGGTATCAGTTTCCTTTTACAAGAACAACATCAAATCACATGACAACAGGAAACTCTTTGTATCACAAAACATTTACAAATGTAATCAAGGTAAATTTAAAATTATGCCAATATATCAAACAGAATTATTCTTACCTACAAATACAAGAAAAAATTCATAGACAAATTTAAACCAGAATTAAACAGATCATAACTCCCCACACATACAGACATAATAGCCAAATACACTAGTCATACCACACACACCAAATGTCTATGAAGAACGAACATATATATGCACATACTGGCAAAAACAAACAACAGACTAACTACAATCATACACATGAACCCTACACAATATATGAAGAGTGTGTGTGTGTGTATATATATATATATATATATATACACACACACACATAAATTCATTGTAATAAAACAATATATATGTATGGAGAAGGAATATGTATACACATACTAGCAAAAACACACATACACACACAATACACGAAAATGGAGATAGGTTTAAGAAGATACAGGGGTCATAAGAAGGTAAGAACAAAGAGAAAACACTTATACAAACACAAGAAAATTTCACACATCTTTGTCATGCAATACTCAGTTGCTATGGTAACAGGAGAAAAAACTCAATACCACTAAGCAAGACTGTTTGGAATTATTATTCTTTTATATACCATGTCTCTTCAGCATGTAGGCGATCATGGCTCTCCACTTATCCCAATCTCTTGTAGCTCTCAATAAGTTTTATCCTTTTGCTACTTTTCTCTGATGCTGTTCTGTCATCCAATTGCTTAGGTGCACTAAGTCAGTCATGCACCGTTTTCCCTTGACTCTCCTACCCTCTATTTGCCCTGGCAGATTCTTAAGCCCTCCTTATTACAAGTCCCAGAAATTTCAGCTGCCCCTTCATGATGTTAAGTATAAGCTTCCTCCTTGTTTGCATCCTCTCCAAAACCTCATTGTTGCTCACACACGCCGTCCATGATATCCTTAGCATTCTTTTATAGAACCATACCTCCATTGCCTAGAGTCTCTTCATCTTTGAGGAGAACATCCAACATTCGCTGCCATAAAGTCATGCAGTAGTTCAGTACTCTTTTCTTTACCATGACAGAATTTCTCATTTTTAAGTAGTGGTTATCAGGCTGCTAGTACATTGCTTTTTATTTCTTTGGATATTTTTTTTTACTTTAAATGATTTTAAAATGCAGAATAATTTCCTAAATTCAACAATAAATCTAATTGTAGAGAGAAAAATCCTAGATAACTCTGTAGAAAATATAACCAATGAAACTGGAAAATTAAATATTTCCATCATTTTTTGATACAATCTAATACACACATTAAACATATATATTATACATAAATAAATACATACACACACATATATATTAAACAAATACATATACACTTGCATTCAGCATATATATTATACATCAATAAACACACAGGCATTACACACACATATATATATATATATAGTGCATCCAATCTCTTAAAACACATATACACACAAGTCCATTCACTCATGTGAGAGCCCATAAATGGTAACTGGCATTTTGCATCTCATCTAAAAACACTCAAGAATTCATTTTCTTGTCCAAAGTTAAAGTATAAAGAAGGTGAAAAAAGAAGGAAAATCATTGAAGCATGAAAGAAAATTGATGTGAAAGAATTTGATCAAAATATGGAATTTGAAATTTTATTAGGATAAACCATAAAAATCAATAAAATAATCACAATAGTAAATTACTTCATAAATGCATCACGTCTATGATTTATATTTATATGTGCATTTCAATTTTTCACATGAGGAAGATGTGTGCTTGTAAAGTAATTTATGAAGGCCTTTTATAAGTGATAACATAGAAATATATATATGTGTGTGTGTGTGTTGTGTGTGTAAGAATTCAGATATATATATATAAAATATATCTGTACAAACAATATGAAGAAAGTTCTTCAGTGTGCCACTATCAAATCTTGCCAAAATGTTAACCAGCACCCCAGATTATTTTCCTAAAAGAAATATTCCTTACACTAATAACTCCTATACATGACCATAAAAACTAAAAGAACATGGTTAAAAAAATGTATTATTTAAGATAAATACATAATTTATCAATTTAAAATAAAAAAAAATAATAATAAAAAAAGAAACATTTAATCACATTCATTTATTAGGCATTAAATTATATCACTTAGGATCCTCCATAGTTTATTTTGAATTTTACATTTAGCCTTATGAACATTGTTGAGCCATCTTAAATTTGAAAATTTCTAAAACACTTTTTTACATCTTATTAATCAATGTTGCAATATAAAATCCTTACATTTACTTTAATAAATTCAATCAGAGAATGAAACATCCTTTAAAAGAAACATTTTCCTTTTGTGTGTGTGTGTGTGTATATATATATATATATATATAAGGTCTTGGAACATTCAGCAAGTGAAAAGTGGTTATCACTTTTCTCTTGTCATAACTTTAATCTCTCCCATATATATATATATATATATATATATATATATATACACACACATGTCAAAAATCTGAAGACTATTGCTATGGTAACAGAGTGAAAGTAGTCAGAGTGCAGTTGCTTGGCACAGTTTGACTTTGAACTCTGTCCCAGCTACACACTAAGTTATAACTTTCTCACACTGATGTTGTTTATAGCAGTGATCGGAAGGAAAGTATATTAATTATGATTGTCTCACCACACTACAGAATTTCCATCATAGATCATGGCTTGTGCAACAGTTTTTGGCCTAGGACAACATTACCCATGTTCAACAACTCTTATATTACCTGAATCTCATCCCTTTATGACATTTTCCTCTTTCTGAAAATCAAAAAACAAGATTTCAAGACATCGAGGAAACCCAAGATAATGTGATGAGGCAGCTGCTTACTATACCAAAAAAGGAGTCCCAGATATGTTTCTATCAATGGAAACAACACTGGATAAAATGCGTGGATTCAGAAGGGAACTACTTTGAAGGAAATGAAGTATTGAATTGATATATGTTGTAGTTTTCTTTTTATAGCACCAGTCCCGATAGATTTTAAGCAGACCTTGTACATAATATTTTTTTTACCAACTTATTTTTCTCATATAAAATGGACTGCTCCACTATCTTACCTGTAGGCTATAAATATTGCTGTATTGTAACAGTCAGTTTTTTAATTTGTGCCTGATGATTGCTATGGACATGAACTTCAGGGTTGTATCAAATAGTGAGGAACAAATGTAAACTTATTCTTAGTATAATCTTTAGCTCTGTTATTTTACATTGAGCACTGTCTTATTACCAGCATTTATTATATATATATATATATATATATACACACACACACTTTTTTTTCTAAGGAATCAATGTTTTTTTTTTTTAAATGAACATTATTGCCTCTTACTATAAATTTTATTTTGTGGATGCTGATATTAAGGTATACATATGGTTTTTTAAACAGTGTGAATTATATCTACTAGCCTGCACATTTTAGGAAGTTAAGAAAATATGCTCTCTGGCAGGGTTCAATCTTGCATCTCCCTTTGTAGGAGAAATCACTGTTTGATCCAGCACACTTATACAAAAGATGTGCATTCTATAAAAGAGTAATCAAAACTCTCAGTGACTGAATCATGATCAGATGGCGGTTTCTTCTAGAAAGGAGGAGTACTCTGAGAGAACATTTTCTTTATTAACATCTCTTGATTACAGAGGCTGGTAGGTATAATTCACACTGTTTGAAAACCTGGGCATCTAATTAAATAAGGTTATCAACAAAATATTTCCAGTAGTAGAAAATATATATAAGGATGTGCGGATAATATAATGGTTGCTATCTGCCTGATATCTTGTCACAAATAAGGCTTCTGGTGATGTTCTCATAATCAAACTGTTCTACAGGGTAGGCTGATTGAACCCATGCCCAACTTCTGTACACTAAGAAAGAAATGACTTTCTGTTCAGGATTTGCCTTTCATAGATGACAATTGCATTTCCATGCAAAGGTGTTTCACTTAGGTCACTTTGGAAATTTGTAATTTTCTTTGTCTTCGACTGGTTGCCAACCAAGTTTAAAGAGTTCAATCTGACCTATTTATATAGAGTCCTTATAGATAGATGTAGCATGATTGATGTGATTGGATGGTTATATATATATATATATATTTTGTTGTGGAGTAAATAGTACACCCCTGA